TATGCAGGTCAGGAAGCAACAGTTAGAACTGGACATGGAACAACAGACTGGTTCCAAATAGGAAAAGGAGTACGTCAAGGCTGTATATTGTAACCCTGCTTATTTAACTTATATGCAGAGTACATCATGAGAAACGCTGGGCTGGATGAAGCACAAGGTGGAATCAAGATGCCAGGAGAAATATCAAAAACTTCAGGTATGCAGATGACACCACCCTTATGGCAGAAAGCAAAGAAGAACTAAAGACCCTCTTGATAAAGTGAAAGAGGAGAGTGAAAAAGTTGGCTCAACATTCAGAAAACTAAGATCATAGCACCCGGTCCCATCACTTCATGGCAAATAGATGGGAAACAGTGGAAACAGTGTCAGACTTTATTTTGGGGGCCTCCAAAATCACTGCAGATGGTGATTGTAGCCATGAAATTAAAAGACCCTTACTCCTTGGAAGGAAAGTTATGACTAACCTAGACAGCATATTAAAAAGCAGAGACATTACTTTGCCAACAAAGGTTCGTCTACTCAAGGCTATGATTTTTCCTGTAGTCATGTATGGATGTGAGTTGGACTATAAAGAAAGCTGAGTGCCGAAGAATTGCTGCTTTTGAACTGTGGTGTTGGAGAAGACTCCTGAGAGTCCCTTGGACAGCAAGGGGATCCAAACAATCCATCCTACAGGAGATCAGTCCTGGGTGTTCATTGAAAGGACTGATGAAGCTGAAACTCCAATACTTTGGCCACCTGATGTGACGAGCTGACTCATTTGAAAAGACCCTGATGCTGCAAAAGATTGAGGGCAGGAGGAGAAGGGTATGACACAGGATGAGATGGTTGGATGGCATTACCAACTCAACAGACATGGGTTTGGGTGAACTCTGGCTGTTGGTGATGGACAGGGAGGCCTGGTGTTCTGCGGTTCATGAGGTCCCAAAGAGTCGGACACGACTAAGTGACTGAAGTGAACTGTGGCAATAACTTTTCCAGAGATGTATGAAGTCTTCTAGAACCTTTTACAAATACTGGACCAGTTAACAGATAGCCTCTGTCAATAGAATACCAGCAAATTCTAAGAAATTATTCTAGGCCACAGGTAGAAGAAAATGTGAGGGGAATATAATTCTAATCCAGAAACTAGGACTTTAGTCCACAAACTAAAACCAGAGGAAGCTTATGGGTTAGCCACCTGGAGTTGGGTTGGAAGATGAGAAGGTCAGGTCAGAGGAAGTAGGGATAACTGCATTAAGGACTCTGATAAATTTTGCAGTTTGCTAGTTGGAACCAAAGGTAGGGGTAGGAACAATAGGCAAAACATAAAGCTTGCAAGACAACAACAAAAAAATTTGCTCCAAAGCAGTCTTTCTTCCTGAACTGTGGAAAAATTTACAAGTTGATAGTTAAGATGAAAGAAAGAGAAGGAAGTAACACCTGTCAAACATCTACAATATACCAAGTACAGAATGAAAATGCATGAAACAACCAGCATGGGGAGCTTATACTATCACTCTTTTTACAACTGAGGAAGCTGACTTCAAAGGTTATGCATCTTGCCCAAATACCATGGAGCTGTAAGAGACAGAGCCCAGATTCAAACTTATTTAGGTCTATTGAACTCCATAGCCCATGATCCTTCCATTATGCTGTTCTGGTGGAGGGGTGGATAATTAAAAAATTATCTAAAACAGATAAAAATACTTTCATAACTACCTGGTTGAGAAAGCTTTAGCAGTGAAATATAAACCTCATGGCACACAACATCAGATTCTAAAACAAAGTGGGCCACCCGAAAATTCTTGCAGCGGAGGATCAGGGGACAACCCAGGCTAGTGACAGGCAATTTCTCCACAGTGGCAATATGATGCAGTGCAATCTACAAAACAGAAAAGAACATCAACAACAACAAAGATCACAGACAGGCACTAGATCTATCACTATCAGTGTGCTTGACTCTCAGTAATGGTAACAGCATAACCAGACATGCAGTCATATCTACAGCCTATAACCATCCATTGTAAGGCAAAACTGGGTTTCTCTCAAACAGAAGTAAATAGTGGTAAAAAAAAAAAAAATCTGCCTGCAATGAAGGAGACTTGGGTTCATTCCCTGCATTGGGAAGATCCCCTGGAGAAGGGAATGGCTATCCACTCCAGTATTCTTGCCTGGAGAATTCTATGGAGAGGAGCCTGGTGGGCTACAGTCCATGTGTTGCAAAGAGTTGGACACAACCAAGCGACTAACACTATCACTTTCACACTTTCAATGAAAAGCAAATTATGGTATTATGAAACTTCTCTCTCCTTAGGGATGTAAGTAAGGTTAAGAGATTTATGGGGCAATTGTGGTGAATTTGGCTCAGAACAGATGGCTTCAGAACTATTGTTGTTGTTTAGTCTCTGGGTTGTCACGTCCAACTGTGTCTGTGCAGAGAGTCGTGCCCATGCAGAGAGTCGAGTCCGACTCTTTGCAATTCCATGGACTATAGTCCACTAGACTGGTGGAATTTAAAAATCATAGTAGAATGATTTTCACAGAGGAAAATCTAACTTCCTTTTTTTCTATCAAATTACTAGTTAAAATGATTAATAATTGGTATTTTGCTTTATTGCTCATGAAGTGGTCCATGATCATTAACTATTTAACCCCTGTAACAATGCTTTAAGGTATAATAATCCCATTTCAGGAACGCAGAAACCAAAGCTTTGAAAAGTGAATTATTCATCAAAGGACATTCAGCCAAAAAGTAGCACAGACAGAATTTGAACCATGGCAGTCTGACTTTGTTTAGGGTTATTTCTCTAGAAATTCTAAAAACTCTAGTCCTGGAATTAAAATGTAACGAAATATTACAAGGAAAATTTCTCTTCCACATCTTAGACTCTAGTGACAGTAAAGAAGAAATGAAGGAAATTTTTACCTAAGTGACTCAGGGAATAAGTAGAAACTATAAGACTAAGGACTAAAATAACTATACATAAGCACTGTACTGTAGTTAAGAAAGCTATTTCCCATGGGAGTACAGGTTCATAACTCTTATTTTTTTAAAAAAATATGAAGGATTATTAAATCTTTAGTTTCATCATCTCTGCTCATGATAGTGCAGCAAAAAAGAAATGTATGGAAAAGGAACTGGTACAAGAAACTATACAAATAATGCAAGTCTCTCTTTATAATTTCAAAATGCCATGGAATCATGGCATTACATTTTTAGTCTTTGATGTTCTCCTCCTATCTGTGTCTCTGATGTTTCCTGCCACTAAAGCCTAAGTGTACTCTTTTCATTTTCTGGACTTCCTGACCTGTACCTGGAATGGCCTTCCTATCATCATTGTATTTTCTTTTTCTCCATCTCACACAGTCTATGCCCCAGCTCCCATTTATTTTGAAAAGAAATCTCTTTCAGGAAATCTTTTAATCATATCCATCATCTAAGAATGGGGTAGATGCAGGACTATTCACATATTCCAAGAAGGAATTTTCCATCGTAATGTCTGTCTTAACTATTTTGTCAAACTTAATTCCTGTTATGGCAGTTTTGAAGGGCCAAAAAGCTACTGATAATGTAACAGGAATTAATATATCAAATTTCAAGAAAATCAAAGCCCTCCTGATCAATATGGTAGATCTATGTTTGAGCAGTGAAACACTGATCGTTGAGAACAGGTGCCAGGCAAAAAACTGGTGACTTAGAAAGAGGCAGAAAGTAAAACAGACTAAGGCTGGATAGAGCTTCATTAACAGTACTAACTGGATAAATATGCCTCCTTTGACATATAGAAAGTTAACATAAGTTCTCCCTTTCTGATCTAGTCCATTAGATTTGAAATAATACCCAGTAGAAACAAATTTGGAGATGTATGCTGTCTGTAAATGCAGGTAGAAAGGGGAAATGCTCATGACACAGTACTAAAGAACTAGTTCCCAAACTATTAGAAATTAAAGAGTCCTTACTAATTATATAATCTAACCACCTCATTTTATAGATGAGTAAACTAAAGCCCAGAAAGTAAGAGTCACTTGCCCAAGTTCATATAGCCAGTTAGTGTACAACTGAGTCTAGCTAAAACCAACTTTCCTGATTCTTCTTTTCTCAATCCTTTCATCATACCAACATGAACAAGATATAATGTCATACGGGGAAAGTTATGGTATTTTTAAAAAGGAAGTATTAAAATACTTTTTTAAAATGTATAGTCTGTTTAATTCATATTATACTTATATAATATTCGCTATCATGTGCCAGACATGATTTTAGGTACAACATTAACTTTTTTATTCCTATAACCAGGCATCATCATTTCCTTTATTTTACAGATGAGGGAAGTGAGCCTCAGAGAAGTTAAGTAACTTGCCCAAGGTTACAAAGGTAGTAAATGTTGAAGCTGGGATTTCACCCTGAACACACTAGCTCTATTCTTAATTGCTGTGCTATGCCATATATCAGAAGCATGTTTTACTTGTTACAGAGGTCTAAGCATAACTCTAGCTAATGATTAAGATTAAATGATGATACTTTAGGATAAGTAAGGCATAAAGTAATATAAAGTAAAGTCAGCAGTGCTAAACTAATTACAGCATATTATTTATTTAAAGATGTAACAATGTACACACACACACACCACTCTGTCTTAGGTCAGACAGCTGGTCTATATTATTGATACCCAAAATACAGTCCATGGGCCACCAGCATCACCTAAGAGCATTCTAGAAATTTGAAATCTTAGGCCTGAGATTCTGCATTTTTAACAAGCTCCCAGGTTATACAGATGTTCTTAGTTGTTGAACCACATTTTATGTGTAGCAAGGTTTTAAATTACTTCAGGATGCTTACCAAGTAGGCATCTTGAAAAATAAGTAGAGACCACTTTACCTAAAAATATTGAGGAAAAAGTCTCATATAGTTTAAAATGACTATAGTCAACAACTTGAGGGAAGAGAAATCATATGATTCAATTTATGAAAAGACCCACCCAGAATAGAGTCTTTGAAGAAAAGGTTTTACAGCAGTTTAAATGTTAACTGAAATTTCAAAAATCTACCATGTGAGAAAGCAAAATTCTTCAAGACTCTTTGATATTTCTTCTTATGAACATACATACCCATGTCTCTTTTCGGGCTGCACCAGAAGCTTCCACATAGATCAGGTGGGTTGCAGTAAGATACAGACTTCCATTAGCTGGTTTCTTACCTCTATAACGACCCAGTAATTTCACGTTTTCTACCTGTTATAAGGGTGGGGTGGAGAAAAATGCTGATTAAGTTACCAACTCACCATCTGTGATTAAAGTGGGATAATTCAAAGTAAGACAAATGGTCTTAACTTACTACAATACTTTGAGTTTTTCTAGTTTATGTCAAGGTAGCAAACTAGTATGATCTGTGTTTCTTTTTCCTAAATCAACCATGAAGAAACTATAAAAGTGAGAGGGAAACATGGATTATAAGAGGGATTAAAATTCTAGATGATGTTACTATGATGGGGTAGATGTGTGTAGAAGATAAATAGGACATGGACAAGGTACTAATCTTATTGGAGGGAAGTGGCAGTTATTGTGTATGGAAAAATCAATAGGGGTAAATAACATGAGATTAGATCTTAAGTTTAAGATCTTATGTTAAAATGCAAAAAAATAGAATATATAACTTTCTTTTTTTTTCCTTTTTTTAAATTTTTTTTCCATTTATTTTTATTAGTTGGAGGCTAATTACTTTACATCATTACAGTAGTTTTTGTCATACATTGAAATGAATTAGCCATGGATTTACATGTATTCCCCTTTCTAAAAAGCAGGAGAAAAGTTGATTTATCCCAATGGAAAGTAGAAAGAAAAAAAACCCAAAAGGGCACCATAAATGGAAATTATAAAATTAAATGCCAGAAATAAGTCCTAATACAAGAGAAATTACAACAAATATACACAAATTAAACTTACTAATTGAAAGACAGACTTGTAGACTGAATTAAAACAAATACTCAAAAATACTCAGTCTAAAAGATATATACCTAAAATAAAGAGATGTAAACAAGTTGAAAATAAAAAGATGGGAAAGATATACTAGACAAATATGAACAAAACTTGAGTAGCATTCTTAAAATCTGACAAAATAGAATTAAGAGACAAAGAACAACAGGACAAAATACATCTTGCATCATGTACTTGCTTATAGCAGAATTGCAGAGACAAAGGAAACACTTGGCTATTTTAACACTTTAGTTAGGAATTGATAGATTAAACATACAAAAACAAAAAACAAAGATGAATAGAGCCGTTAAAAAGAATTCATTTGAATCAGTTCTAATGAGATGGGTGAAACTGGAGCCCATTATACAGAGGAAGTAAGCCAGAAAGATAAAGACCATTACAGTATACTAACACATATATATGGACTTTAGAAAGATGGTAACGATAACCCTATATGCAAAACAGAAAAAGAGACTCAGATGTATAGAACAGACTTGTGGACTCTGGGAGAAGGCGAGGGTGGGATGTTTCAAGAGAACAGCATCGAAACATGTATATTATCTAGGGTGAAACAGATCACCAGCCCAGGTTGGGTGCATGAGACAAGTGCTCGGGCCTGGTGCACTGGGAAGACCCAGAGGGATGGGGTGGAGAGGGAGGTGGGAGGGGGGACCGGGATGGGGAATACATGTAAATCCATGGCTAATTCAATGTATGACAAAAACCACTGCAATGCTGTAAAGTAATTAGCCTCCAACTAATAAAAATAAATGGGAAAAAAAAAGATGAATAGAGATACAGAATACTTTTATAGTACAACTACAAGTTTTAAGTTATTAGATATACAGAGAACTCTATATCCAACAAATAAAGAACATAAAATCATTCAAGACAAATAATAGAACACTTATAAAAAGACATCATGACAATGTCTGTAAAGGAAGACTCCATAAATTTCAAAGTTTTGATATCACAGTCTGCATTCTTAAACCATGATACAATGACATTAGAAATTAATAACAGAATAATAGACAAAGTTAGCATATATTAGGAAACAAAATACCATATTATTAAATTAGCCTTGGGTTAAAAGCAAGCCATAAATGAATTAATAAATATGTAAAATTGAAAAATAATAAAAACACAACAAATGAAAAATTGTGGGACACAGTTGAAGCAGAACTAAGAAGGAAATGTACAGCTTTAAGTACACTTATTATGAAACAAGAAATATTAATAAACTAGTTAATCATCCAATTCAATGAAGAAAGCAAAAGAACAGAAAAAAGACAAATCACAGAAATTAAAAAGCAGATAATCACCCCCCACATACACACACACCAAAAAATAAACAACAGAAAAGATGAACAAAATTAGAATTTAATTCTTTAAAAAGGTTAATAGATCTTTGAGAAGACTGATCAGGAAAAAAAAATGGGAAGAGGCAAGTACACAAAATACAGAATGTAAAAGGAAAAACAATGTAACAAATTTATTTAAATGAGAGTATTATGAACAATATGCTAATACATTGAAAAACCTACATGAAATGAAAAAATTCCAAGAAAAATCCCTCAGGTCCAAAGGGATTTGCTAGTTAAATCTACCAAACTTCCATGAAACAAACTATCTTATCCAACTGATTCCAGTGTTAGAAAAAGAATGACAGTTAGTCTATTTTATTTATGAGGCTAGCATAATCTTGATTCTAAAACCAAACAGACAACTATAAGAGATTAAAATTTATACCATTTCACTTATGAAATATAGAAAAAAATTCAAATAAAATTATTTAGTGAATCAACAATATATTTTCAAAAATATATTCATTTGATCAGGTAAATTTAACTCAAGAAAGCAAAGAGAGTTCAACACTGAAAAATTTCAAAGGAATACATCACATGAATAAATTAAAAGAGAAAAATCAAATGATTTATCTCAACTGATAGAGAAAAATCCTTTTGAGTTCACTTTTTATGATGCTAACCCTTAGTGAATTGGGAACAGAAGTAAACATCCACAACTTGGTAAAGATTATATATTAAAAGCCTACAAAGAATGTCATGTGTAATGGAGAAACTAAATGCATTACTTAAAAATCACAAACAAGATAAAGTGGACCTATCTATCACTGCTACTCTTTTAAATATCCTGCTGCAGCTGCTGCTAAGTCGCTTCAGTCGTGTCCGACTCTGTGCGATCCCATAGACAGCAGCCCACAAGGCTCCGTGGTCCCTGGGATTCTCCAGGCAAGAACACTTAGTGGGTTAACATTTCCTTCTCCAATGCATGAAAGTGAAAAGGGAAAGTGAAGTCACTCAGTCATGTCCAATTCTTTGCGACCCCATGGACTATAGCCTACCAGGCTCCTCTGTCCATGGGATTTTCCAGGCAAGAGTACTGGAGTGGGTTGCCATTGCCTTCTCTGTTAAATATCCTAGTCAATACAATAAGAAAAAAAGAGGGGGGAAAGTTAAGAAATACAAGGACTGAAAGTCAGACGCTGTATCTGGCACCATTTACTGAAAGACAATCTTCCCAATAAAATGATAATCGGAGATCTTCTACAAAGAAAAAACCAAAAGAATCAGCAAACTATTAGAACTTATATCAGAGGAATTCAGCAAGGTTTCTAGATAAAATGTCAATCTACAAAACTCAAATGATTCTCTATACAAGCAATGACCATAAATAAAACACCATTCACAGTGGCAACATCACCATGTAGAATCCAGGAATTAGTCCAATCAAGCATATATGATACTTTTACAGAGAAAACTTTAAAACTCTAATATAGGAAATTGAAGACAACTTAAAGAAATGAAGAGGCATCCATTCTCTTGGATGGGGCAACTTAATTTTATAAAGATGGAAATTATTGTCCAAATTAATCCATAAATTCAATGCAATTTCAGTTAAATTTCAAAATGGATTTTCCATACATTTATTCTAAATTTAAATAGAAGACTATAACCCCATAAATAGCTAAATAAATCTTAAAAGAGAAGAGTGAAGAAAGGAAGATCTGCTCTACTAGATATTAAGATATACCCAAAGCCATAGGGTAAAAAAAAAGAAAGCTTGAAGTACTAGTAAAAAACTATACAAATAGATCATTGATAAAGGCTCACAGTTGAAAGGCAAACTTGTGTATGAATGGGCACTTCATATAGGATAAATGTGGCACTACTAATTATGAACAAAAGATATAAGTACTTAGCAAATGTGTGGGGAAAACTGTATCAATACATGAAGAAAAACAAAACTAGATCCCTATGTATTACCACATGCAAAAGTGTAATCTAGATATATCTATATGTAAGAAGAAAAACTATAAAGTTACTAGAAAATGCAAAATATGTCAGATCGAGAGACAGGAAAAAACTTGAAAAATCAATCAATAACAGAATGGGAGAAAATATATAAAATGTCTAAAACTAACAATAGATCATTATCTAGACTATATAAAGGGCTCCTGTAATTCAATGAAAAAAAGACAGAAGCTTTAATAGAAAAGCGGGCAAAAATATAAGAACAGGCAAGTTACAGAATAGGAAATCCAATAGGCATAGAACCATGAAGAGACACTCAAAATACTGGTAATTACATAAGTGAAAATTAAAACTACAAGATATTTCTTTAAGTCTGTAAGACTGGAAAAAACTGGAAGGCTAGAAAATGCCACATGTCAGTAGGGTGTTGGGGATAAAAGAACCCTCACCTGTTACAACTGTCAGGGGGTGACAGGGTATAGACAGATTGAGATCACTCCAGAGATCAATCTGGTACTATATAATTAAGAGTAACAAAGTACACTCCATGATCCAGATATTCTATTCCTGAAAACGAACCCAAAGAAGTTTTCATATAGGTCCTAAAGAGGACACATACAATACAGAACATTTTCATCACAGGGAGAATAGATAATTCAAGATGTACTGCGGAATTAAGCAGGTATTAGAAGGAATGGGTGGATTTAATTCAGATGACCATTATATCTACTGCTGTGGGCAAGAATCCTTTGGAAGAAATGGAGTAGCCCTCATAGTCAACGAAAGAGTCTGAAATGCAGTACTTGGGTGCAATCTTTTCATCACAGGGAGAATAGATAATTCAAGATGTAGTGCAGCATTAAGCAGGTATTAGAAGCAATGGGTGGATTTAATTCAGATGACCATTATATCTACTGCTGTCGGCAAGAATCCTTTGGAAGAAGTGGAATAGTCCTCATAGTCAATAAAAGAGTCTGAAATGCAGTA